ATCAATCACATAATGACAAGTTTATGTTCCAACCTTATCCCTTAGTACCACCCTTATGCTATCCCCGGCCTTATCACAGTTCCAACCTGTACCTCCAAGTGCCACCCTATACTTCTAAGTCTAACCTTTTCCCGGTCTGGGACTGTCGTCCCCCACCAAACTTCCGCCAAACAATACCGCCGAACTCATAGTACACGAGGGTACCGTTCAAATCATAGTAACATACCACCGATCACGTGAGCAAAGCTCAAGTAACAAAACCACCAATCTCATTCATATTCACACATAGTCATCATCATCAAGAAGACTAAGGCTCATCAATAGCCCCAATCAAGTATCAACAAAGGGTACAACGATTTGTACAAGATCATACCATAAGAATCAATCAAGAGATTTCAACAAAGACATGAGGCAATACTCAACAACAAAGGACTACAATCCAATACCAATATGATTGGCAACACGAGTTGCCAATCCTCAACAAGAAGGAACAAACCATACATACTAGCATAATAACATCAAACTAGCATGGTCATCAAACGGATAAATCAAAATGGTTCCAACGAACCTTCAAGACTCATATTAGTCCAACGAATCACAAAGTTGGACCCTTAGCACGATTCAAGACACCAAATCCTAACATGGATTCCTTACACATCGTTCTAGACATACGAAACATCAAGAAGAATCACAAAAGCTCAACAATCCACCAACGGGAGGTCAAAACATCAAATACCAAGAAGAAAGGATCACGGGGAACAAATCCCCGCAATCCCCACATATGTTCCCCGCGGGTGGGGCCACGGGTAGGCCCCCACCCGTGGGCCTGCTTGCGGGGTACACCCCACAAGCCACCTTCGTTCCCCGCGGGTGGGGCGGCGGGTAGGCCACTGCCCCCGCTCCGCCCGCGGGGTACACATGTACTCCAAGAATTCCCTTCGGTGAAAATCATCAACAAAGCCAAATTCAAGTCCAAAACACCCAAAACCTTACACACAACAAAGATATGACTTGAACCCAAGAATAGCTCAAAGAAAGGCATTCAAGAACCCTAAATACAAGCTATAAACATGCATTATCACAAGATCATGCATTAAATCACTCACAACATCAATAATCATCAAATAGAACCCAAGAAATATCAATAGCAAACATAAAATAGATTTTGTAGAGCATGTGTTACCTTTGAAGACCAAAAACCACTTCCTTCTTACACTCCTAAGCCTCACCTTGAAGCTCTTCCTCACCAAACCAAACCACAAGGAAAAACACCAAAATAAGATAAAGATACCTTAAAGCTAGCTAAAAACACTAAACAACTAGAGATTTTACCCTTTCCTATGCTAGAGAGGTAGAAAGGTGGAAACTTTAGGTGAAATCTTGCAAGGATAGAGAACCCTTCTTCTAGCTTGAAAAGAAAGCTAAGATTTCTTGTAGAGAGAAGGTGGAGGTTTTAAGATTTGGCTAGCATGGGAAATGAATGAAATGTCTTGCTAGGGATAGCTTGAACAACAAAACATGTGTGAAAGGTCAATTTTACCTTTACTAAGGTTAGAAAGACACAAGGGTTGTGGTACAAAGCATAAGGCAAAAGGTACACTTGGTTGACTAAAGAGACTAGTCAAATTCTAGTCCCTTGACTATCAAATTTCAGGATTTTTAGAGAGAAATTACCAAAGGAAAGCTAGAATTAATTCCTCAATTAATCACAATTAGGAGTTAGATTTACGGGGTTTCACATCTACAGCTTCACGAATAATAGTTGGTTCTATACTCCGCCCAGCATATTGTCTAGCCCAGGCAGTTGGACAATTTTTCCAAGTCCAGTACATGCAATCTAAACTCCCAAGCATCCTTGGAAAACCACATTTTTTGCCAATTTGAAGCAACCGTGCAACATCATTAGCATCAGGTGCTCTTAGATATCGCTCCCCAAAGACCTCTACAATTGCTCGACAGAATCTCTTCAAAGTTCAAACTTCCAATTGCAGTTGATTCTCCAATCTGGATATATTCATCTGTTGCATCTGCTGGTATTCCATACGCCAAAATTCGAAACGCCGTTGTTACTTTTTGTAAAGTAGATAAGCATGTCTACCGATTCTATCCTTCCGTTGCAAAATATAGTTGTAATGGCCTTTAACAGCATTGGCGATTCATAGGAACAAATTTCTACTCATTCGAAATCATCTACGAAACATTGCTTCAGAATATTTTGGATACTCTAAAAAATAATCATTCCTTGGGGGTTGACCAAAAGTCGCACCTACATGCCTCGGGGGTTGATTATCCATATTTTCCATGTAGGAAGTTATGGCACGGTTGTGGCTAGTATATGCATTGGTTAATAACTGTGTTTGTGCTCGTATTGCACTTGCGAGAATGTGCTCAAAATCCGGTGATGATGATGATGAGGATGATGATGAAGAAAATGACATAGGACGTTTTCCAATGTTGAAAATGACATCCGTTCATTGGTATGCTTGACCTTTTTCACACATTTTCAATAACAGATATCACATCTTTGAATCAACTTTTATCAGAGTTGTTTAGAACCGTTAGATTAGATCGCGAAGATCACATCCGTTCATTGGTATGCTTGTCCTTTTTCAAACATATTCCAATAAAAGATATCAAATCTTTGAATAAGTTTTTATCAGAATTGTTTACAACCGTTAGATTAGATCGCAAAGATCTCATCTATTCATTGGTATCCTTGTATCTCTATAAATACTACAATTCGATTTTAAAAGTAATACCACATGTCTTTTGAATCTCAAAATCTCTTTACATTTCTTTCTAGTTTAACAGTCATTGAAATATGTCAAAACCCTCACGTTCGATCTGAACTGCCTCATACTCAAATGAGGAAGATAAACTCCTTTTTACTATATTTATGGATATTGCCCAAGATGCTAAAAAGGGCGATGATCGCTTTGCACCAGAATTATGGGAACACATTGCACACGAATATAAACAAAACCTATCGACACACATTTGTACTAATCGACCTTCGAGATCGCTGCAAACTCGCTGGGCAAATATATCAACTTCGATCTGCAAATTGAGATGATGCATTCAACAGATAGAGAACATGAACCCAAGTGGTGCATCTGAACAAGATATTGTGAGTATCTTGTAAATTTGAGTTATTTAGTTATTTCATATTTTTTGTTTTAATTGCGTTGTTTAATTTGAATTATATTTTATTTATAACAGCTTGATAGAGCCAAGGAGTTAGTAAAGCAAGATCCCAAATTCAAAAACGGATTTAAATTTGATCATGTATGCCCTATTGTGAAAGACATGCAGAAATTTTGCAGAACTGGGAGCTTGCTAAATGTTGGAGCTCTGAAAAGAACTTCTGAAGGATCACAGTCACAATCTTTGGGAACCGAGAAGTCAATAGGCTCTTCCTCATTTCCTGTTGATTTGAATGATGATTTTGAAACTGATGATCATTGTAATGAAATGAACAATGTAGGTGAACGTCCCACGGGAAGAAAGAAGGAAAAGATGAAGCAAAAACTCTCGGATGAGCGTAATCAATTTATTGCCGCAATGGAACAACAAACTGCACAATTCAAGGAATGTACGAACACAATCATGAGCTACTCCAAAAACAATATGAGATTGATTTGGTTAAAGCTCAAAATGTAGCGAACAAAATAGTATTGGGAAAAGAAAAAATGGCATTGGCAAAACGAAAAGAAGATAACAAAATCTTAAGAATGAATTTAAATTTGATAGAAGATCCAAATGTGCGTGAGTCGATTAGACGCCAACAACTACATATTGTTGCTGAGAGAAATCAAAAGCATGGAGGAGTTAAATCAAATCGTGAATTTGATAATTATTTTGATAATTTGGGAGGAAGTGGGAGTGGACTAGGAAATTATTTATTTTATTTTATTTTTCAAAATTGTGTTGTATTTTCTAATATCAATATTATGTCGTATGTATTTTAATTTTTATTATGTTCTAATTATGTTTGATGTATTTGAAATTTTAATTAATATATATTCAATATTATTCTTGTTTCAATCGTCTCAATGAGATCTTTAAAATGGTATACTTTTTATTTAATAATACAAACTTTAAATATAAGTATTTAACAAAATAAAAAATTACATATAAAACAAATAAAGGATACATTTGAAATAATAAAAAGAAGCAAAGGCAAAAGGGTAATTTTCCTCCCCATTTTACATTAATGCAGGCACTGTGAATTAACGCTAAAAATATTGGCGTTATGCCGCGATGCCATCTCCCTTTGGAGTAGTCTAATTTGCATATTTGGTGTTTTGGCGTAAGATTTTGCAGTCACCTTGGAGATGTTCTTAAACATCCGTTAACTTGGGACCAAATTGGTAATTTTATTATAGTCAAGGGACTATTTCGATCATTACATGTATCATTTCCTCCGAAAAGTTAATTACTGAAATAGTCCATTGTATAGTGAAATTACCAATTTGGTCCTAAGTTAACGGAGGTCTAACGACAAAACAAACGGAGGACTAAATTGATTAAGATTTTTAAAATTTAAGGATTTAATTGATAAAAAAACTAATCAAAGACCAAATTGATAATTTTATTATAGTTAATGCACCATTTCGATAATTAACTCAACAAAATTTGTTTGAAAATTAATTCCAAAATCCTACAAGAAGTCATTCTATCACGTCCAATCCCCATTGAAAAATTTTCTACAATAACGTACTAAAACTCCTGAAATATGGAAAAATGGCGTGGGAGTTAACCGCAAAGTTAGTTGACAGTTTGTGTTATCGTTAGGAAAGCGCTTTACTACTATTACTTTACGTATTTTTTGCTCTCTATTTGTATCTTTCTCCGTTCAAAGAAAACTCTTCCCCCGCCATAACTGTCTTTCTCTTATTCTTTCTCTACAATCACATTTTCGATTCATATATATATATTTATATATTTCAACTCCGTCGTTGAATCTTCAGATCTCTTTGCTCCATTGAATCGGATCTCACCGCATTCCTCATACGCATGATCGCAAATTTGGAAACGTATTTACTCACATTTGTAGAGTAATTCAAATCAATTGGTGCTCTGGAGCTATTGAATGGAGAGTGGAGGAGGAGGAGGGGGCCGCGAGATTGAACGCTCCGAGGAGAATGCAGTTTTCTCGCCGGGGCGGAGCAAGTATAGGCAGGTGGTGGCGCAGGACCATGATCGGGCCGTGCTCGAGATGTCGTCTATTGATCTCGGATCTTCCTCTCTTTCCTATCCCCCTCACGATCTCAAGTACTTCGTCATTTCTCTCTTGCATTATTTAATTTTATGAGCTCACTAGTTCTACATTTAGTGAAAGGAAATTGACGATGCAGGACATGATGAGGTTAACTATACAGGTAGTTTGGAGTATTAGAATCTTTTATCTCTAGTATATGATTATTCGAATCCCCTAAATATCTGAGGCAAGGGTTTATATAATTGAAGAAGAACTGCCTGCTGGCTGCTGCATTAGAAAAAAAAAAAAAAAGCAATTTAGAGTGAGATTTTATATTAAATAATGAAAATTATGTGCTGCATTAACAGCTTGAGCTAAATAGTTGAGCCTAAATTAAAGGATTATCTTCAAAGGCTTTTGCTCATTAAGTACTCTCTTTCAATAACATCTTCTTTAGCTGATTTTTTGTTATATTTTGATATTTTTGAGCTGGATCTTATTTTTAGATATATATAGATATAAAATAGATCAATTGAAGGTTTCTCCTTTATACTTGACGCTACAATAATGCTGACATTAGTAAGTAATTGTTTTTAAGTTGTGTGTGTGTGTGTGTGTCCTTGGGATTCTTGTAGCTTCTATGTGAAGTTGGGAATTTGTGATTGAAACCTGTGTAGGCTTTTACGACTTTCTAGCATTTTCTGATGCCCTGCCAACTATTTCCATTTTCCAAGATATGTATTACTTGAAGAATGGTTCCTGTAAAAAAATTGTCTCAGTAACATGTTTGTATTTCAAGTTATCAAATCTTTTGAAATGGCATCAGTTGATCATGAGAGCAAGAGGTTACATTACACTTTTCATTGTTAGTTTTGATGTATGCCTAATGAGGCTTTGACTTACCAGTACCATTTCAGACACTGTATGTATGTCTGTATCTTTCTACAGTTCTTTCACAAATTTTGCCTCCTGAAGGATATTGGCATTTGATGGACCTAAGGTTTTGAATCTGGATTGTGCACATGTAGGGCAGGTATCTAGTTCTGTGTTCAAATTTGGGATGAATTAGGCCATAAAATAATTTTCTAGTACTAATATGTTTGCTAACAACTCAACAAGGGTTTGCATAGTTGGTAAGGTTCAAATATTTCACCTAAAAAGATCATAGGTTTTATTCCTGATACCAACAATACCTTTTTAGTAAGCAATTTGTAAGTACTATCGTAAGCCCTCTGTGGCTGGTGGAACTGTGGCATGCTTAAGGTGTTCAGATTCAGATAGGTAGTAGAAAGTAGATGAGAGCAAGAGTTCTAGAAATGAAAGCTGAAATATATATATATGGGTATAGCTTCCCGTGTGGTTGTGCGGTTGACGCACATTTAAGCATTAAAATGGCGCACCTTAAGTACACAAACCACGCAGCTTAAGCACACAAACAAAGCCCCTTAAGAACAAAAACCACGCGCATCTGAAGCTTTAGGCCGACGCACCTTAAGTACACAAACCACGCACCTTAAGAACACAAACCACGCACCTAAGGTTTTATTCTCACTACCCTAGGAAAAACTATTCATCTTCTCAAGACAACTTGAAGTAAATAGGGTTGCAAAAAGACTGCCCAAGACAAGATATTTTCAATATACAATAAATACTAGACTTTTCACTATTCTAGGAAAAACTATTCATCTACTTAAAGTAAATAGGCCAGCAAATAGGCTGCCCAAGAGAAGATATTTTCAATATATATATACTTTTTTATTTATTTAATACTCATCGCCTAGTCATCACCTAGGCGGTCGCCTAGTCGACTAGGTAGTCGGTGGCATCTCGCCTAGAAAGTTCGCCTTGATAACTATGTTAAGAAGGAAAACCACACACCTTAAGCTTTAGGTTGACGCACCTTAAATTTCAACAACTACTCACATTAAACACACAAACCACGCACCTTAAGCACAAAAACCACACACCTTGAGTTTCAACAACTACTTACATGAAGCACACAAACCATGCACCTTAAGCACAAAAACCACGCACTTTAAGATGGAAAACCACACACCTTAAATTTGACTTAGATGCAACAATTACCAAATTGCCACAACATTTTTTTTTTTTTTTTTGTTAATCCTGGATGTTGATTTAAGCAAGATTAGCTCAGATTTAACCGCACGGGACACACCCAACCACACGGGAACTGAATTCTATATATATTACCCTTGTAGCAATTAGGTTCAAACTCATTAAACTAGAGTTTTTGCTATTCATTTTTGTGGAGTGTGAAAATGACCATAGTAATATTTTTCCTTTTTTACTAGAAAATAATGCTCAAATGGGCTGCCAATCAACTATTTGCTGCACATTTTGACTAATGAAGAAAACTTCTGATTGCATAGTTCTAGAAGGTCAATCATTCTTTGTTTTTACCCAAGTCTTACTATAAAATGGCTTGAAGATTGCATAGTAATACTACTTTAATAAGCTGAAACATTGCCAATGTCTTGAACTTTTCCTTACCTTCATAAAATTTTTAACACATTGCTTTCCCTACAGGGTCACCTTATAATGGCATTGGCAATATTCTAGCTTTTGCTTTTAGTTTTTGTTTTGTTTAGTTTTGTTTTTGTTTTTGTTTTTTTTCGTCTCCAGCCATGGAGACAAAGAATGTTTCTTCGTCTTTGGCCGGAGATGAGGACTATTTCTTTGTCTCCGGGACGAAGACTTGTATTTTTTTTTTTTAAAGTTTTTAAATTTATTTTAAAAAAATATTTTAAATTTGAGTTGACCTGTTAGATACCTGCAAATGGGAGAATTGCATGAAATTGGTTTTTTTAGGGATCCAATTGTAGGTTTTTTAGGTTCAGTGGCCTAATTGCATTATCGTGTGCAGTTCGATGGCTTATTTGACCCTTATCCCTTTTTTGTTTTTTTTTTTTTGTTTCTAAAGTTGTTCAGCATATAGTGATTCTCTGCAGGTTTGTTTTTTTTTGCTTGAGAAGTTTACTTCTTAGCAAACAAATATGGTGTTGTCCTATGCATTTGAGCTTTGACTTGGTGTTGTAGAGAGTAATCTCTAGGATATATAATAATACAAAACTTTGGTGGAAGTAATGACTTTAGGAAGAAAGGAAAATAGACTTTTCTTGTTGGCTGATGCGATAATGTTTTGAATAAAGAATAGTAATGCATTATGAGTTTTCACATAAACTGTTATAAAATGCTGAATAATAAGTGATACCAGAAAGTATGTTATAAATGAATGCTAGTGATGCGTTTTAATATATTTTCTTTCCCCTCAAGCTTTGCAGCTTTTCCAAAGATGTTTCCAGTTTTAAATTTTATGTTTACGAGTTATTCTGGTTATTGTAATTTTTAAAAACTATACTAACTTGCGCAATTTAGCAGTAAAATTAAAGTTGGTGAGCAAGCAAAGGTGTCCTCCCATGGAAGTGCAGGTTCTTTACCTAATTATGGAAGTGTCAATGTAAATGGAGCCCAGACAGAATCAAAGTTAGAATTATTTGGCTTTGATTCTCTTGTCAATATTCTAGGTCTTAAGAGGTAAGAAGTGAATGTATTACCTTTGATTTTATATTTTATATTTTATATTATATATTTTTCCTTGTCCATCTTGCATCTGACAAAACCTTCATCATTCTGATAAATTATTGTGTTATTTATTATTCCTGTCATTTTATAACCTTGTTCAATTTTTTCCAAATTTTTTGACATTTTATGCTCATACCTGTCAATGGTTTTGACCTTTTCATCAGTATATTTAAGGTTTTGATTTCTTGATGTTTGGATGATATAAATAGTTTAATGTGACCTGTTCTTCCAGTATGGTAGGGGATCAAATGCCAAGCCCATCACATCTCCGTGATGGTGATGATGCAACTATTGAGCGCCAAAGGGTAAATAGTAGCATTCTATATTGTGTTCTTTTGAGAGTTATTGTTTGACACTGAAATTTTTATGTAGAATTTTCTCCACTAATACAGTGCTTCAATCATAGTTCTGCAAGTTGTCCTTATTCGTCCCACATCTTTCCTGTTGTATGTTTTCCTTTTCATGGAATGGTTGCTAGGATTTCTCTGTGCCAGTGAAATGTTGGAATAATGGTGGCAAATAGGAGAGAAGGGATGACTGTCAATTTTCTAGTTAACATCCTGTACTTTACTTCTTTCTGATTGCGGTTTGAAGTGTGAGGAATTCAACATAGTTTGTAATGCCACAGAGAACAGTTTGGAGAATAAAAAGAATTTCATGATGGTTTGCTTCTGTGAACTGTACCTTTGGGCACATAGGCCCTGTTTGGTAAAATGGCTGTTAGCTGATAGCTGTTAACTGTTAGCTGATTGTGTTAGTTAGAGGGTATAAATAGTTGATAACATTAGCTGATTGTAGAAAAGTGTTTGGTAAATTAGCTGTTAGCTGATAGCTGTTTGGTATAATTTCTTTTCTCAAAAAGCTAATTGAAAAAGTTGCTTGGAGTAGCTTTTTGAATTTTAGCCTTTTGGAGTTGCAAAAAGCTAATTAACCAAACATTTATATTGATATTTTAACTAAATCAAACAACTAATAGTGGTCAAATAAGCCAAAATTGTCCTATAGGCCAATTTTTTACCAAACAGGGCCATAGTGATTTTTGAAAGAAAAGATCTAAAAGTTTCAGGAATTGTTCATTGTGCTAAGGTGTAATGCCTTCTTTACTACTCAAGAGAAGTTAACATTTTCTGGACTATTTATATAATTCTATGTTGTGAATCAAGGACTGGAATAACTTTTGTAGAGTAGAATACGTTTTCTAAGAATTGATCGAAGATTCCAGAGAAATATAAACATGAGAAAACATCTTTTTTTCTGAAACAGAGGGAAGGAGGGTGGATATTTATGCATCCTAATTTATTGCCAATGCCCTGATGTCCCTATGGTTCACTTATATTCAATATTGTCCTGCTGTTCCCTTTTATCTCTGATTTTGATAGAGGTTAGAATTTGTACTGTTTATTATGTATTTAAATTTCTTACTGATTTTTATTCTATTGGGCCCTTATCCAGTCAGTGCAATTTAACTCTTGGTCTCTATTTGAATAATAGTTTGGCCATCATAATAGATGTATATTATTTATAATGACAGAGAGCCCTGTCAAGCTTTTGAACACCTGCTTCATACACTGTTGTGAATTATTCATGCAGCCTGTTGCTGTCAAATTAGGAACAATGATGGGAGTTTTTGTGCCATGCTTGCAAAATATTATGGGAATCATCTACTATATACGATTTTCCTGGTAAGTTTCTCACTTTCATTTGAGTTTAATTTTCAGTTAAATATTGAATGTTATTGAGGAGTCGGTTTACAAGCTGTGTTCCGAAAAATGTGGTCTAGAAACTCTCAAGGAATGTTTTGATGTAATATGTTATTATTATGTTCTGTGTTCCTTTAGTTTTGCTTATTGTATTTGAATTCATAAACTTGGAAATGCATGTATTACTGCTTGATGGTTTTGTTGACAATTCAAAGTTAGATCATGTGGTATGTTTCCTCATTCTCCCTGTATATTCTTCATGAATAGATGGTGTAAAACTGTAAAAGACAGCTGCAAAGGGAGAAAAGGAAAGAGGATTAGGAAGGTGAAGGTGGGAATAAAGGACAAGAATGAAAAATGAAAGGAAAAGCAAGATGGGAAGGGGAGGATAAAAATAAAGTAGGAGAAAGAATAGTTTGTTTCATGTTTGAAGCTGCTCTCTCTCTCATTTTTTGTGTTCTATGCTTCATGATACTTCTTATCCATTCAACTCAAGCACGATCAATTTTATTTTCTTCTTTCCTCTCAAAAAATATGATAAAATTGCAGGATTGTTGGAATGGCCGGTATTTTTCAGTCATTGTTGCTAGTTGCCTTTTGTGGGTCTTGTACTTTCCTAACTACAATATCACTGAGTGCCATTGCAACTAATGGTGCAATGAAGGTAAAATGGAACTTTCTAGTTCATTTGCTACATATTTTGGCTGAATAGTAAGGAAATGTCCAATTTTTACAATTCCATTGGTTGCCAGTGTTTTTTCTTTACTTATGTCTTTTTTTAAGGGTGGTGGACCATACTATCTTATTGGGCGTGCATTGGGTCCAGAGGTTGGTGTTAGTATTGGGCTGTGTTTTTTCCTGGGGAATGCAATATCTGGAGCTATGTGAGTGTGCAATTTGATCTTATATTCCCATTTAATGCTCTATAGTAGAATACAACATTATCTTCTCATTATGCTTGTCTAATTACAGGTATGTACTGGGAGCTGTAGAGACCTTCTTGAATGCTGTGCCAGAGGCAGGAATTTTTAGAGGTAATGCTCTATCATAGCTACATGTGTGGAAATCCATGGAAGAGTGGGGTCTATATTCCAGAGGAATGAGGATCTCTTTCCAATTTCCTGTGAATTAGTTCACAGGTTGGTTAGCTTTGTGCTGATTAATTATTTTTATTATGTCTGAGATGTCCCAATATTAATGGCCACATCAATAATTGGAGTGGAACTCGACATTTATCTTCTATTTTACAAGGATCCATCCTTAAATTTCATCTCTTTGTGCATGTGTGTGTGTATTTGGAATCTGGGATATGGTGGTTGTTTATAGTTTCCTAAGTTTATATCTAATTTGATCATTTTCACATTTCATGATGCAGAGACTGTCACAGAAGTTAATGGTGCTACAGTTGCACCCATCATGAAACCAAGCTTATATGACTTGCAGATATATGGGGTTGTTGTGACTATTATTCTGTGCTTCATAGTATTTGGTGGTGTCAAAATGATCAATCGTGTTGCACCGGCTTTCCTTATCCCTGTCTTATTCTCATTATGCTGCATATTTCTTGGCTTATTTTTGGCGAGGAAGGATTATCCAACAGGTTAACATTGTTTTGACCATCTAACTTTCCTTCTTTTGAAGTTCCCTTGTCTTCAACAAGATATGCACTGGGATAAGTGGTACTAGACAATTAAAATATCTCTTGTTTGAGTTACAAGAGCATGATTTTAAATGATTTCATGCCTATTGAGACTTTTCTTCCAATAGGATGGTCATGTCCTGAGTCATTCTCTGTTCCTGAGATGCGTGGATGGATACACAGTTATTACTTAGTTATTAAGTTAAACAGCTTCTCTGTACTTGGTTTCTCATCCTTGGACTTCTGGAACTTTTGTTATTGAAAGCGTGTATAGGGGTGATCTTCAAGAATGCCATTTCTATTAAGAGCTACAAAAAAGCTTCTATAATTGGATGATTATGTTGTTGAGAATTCTAATGTTCTTTGGCTTCTATTATATGCTGGTAAATCAATTCCACTACTTGCTTAAGTTTGTTTCATAGAAGAATACTTTAGGATGTACAGGTAAGTGAATCAGAATCCTTTTGTATAAGGAATATGGAAGACAACATTGTAGTGATTTCATAATAGTATTAAACATGAGTTTGTGTTATAAGGAGGACAATAATGTAGTTATTTCATAATTGTGTTTGTTGTTTCTAAGCATGAGTTTGTGTTTATTAAATAAGTGGAGATGAAGTTGTGGATTGTAATCAGATTTGGAGATCTGCTAAAGAAAGAATCATTGCATTATTTGGTCACCTTTTGTTTTTGTGATACTAATTCAAGGGTGGACAAATTGTTTATTGTCCTGCACTGACCTTGTTTGTGCTTAAGTTTCCTTTGCATTCATTTTACTTGTTGCACATATCTTTTCTTCTTTTACATACATATTTGTGGGTGAGTGTGACCTTTCTGTTGTACTGCAGTTGGATTCACGGGGTTGAGTTTGGAATCTTTTAAAGACAACTGGACCTCTGATTACCAGATGACGAATGATGCTGGTATTCCAGATCCTAAGGGGGATATATACTGGAGTTTCAAGTAGGGCATGCAACTATATCATTTTCACAGAGTCCTATCTTTGTCTCTTATTCATTCAACATACTTTAACCGGATGCATGGATCAATTTCTAGAATTTATTCTCTAGTATCTTTTAGGATTTGCTATTAATTACTCCATGTGGAGCATATTTCCCAACTTTCATGGAAATGCTTGACACACAATTGGGCTATAATACACATGGGCCAAACCACACTAAAAGATTGAATCTAATCAATTAGCTAGTCTTAGTGTCTAACCCATGGCCTTATAAACCCATATGTTCTCTCTTATATTTTCAATGTTGGACTCTTAACAAGGAGTTTGTTGGTGGCAATAAGAGGTGTAGATAGTTCCTTTTCTTCTTCATCTTTTCGCTGTTTAGTTTCATAATTGCTAGTTAAACTGGTATTCCTTACCATATTCCTGCTTTTTTGGAAGTCGAAGCTACGCTTCTCAATATAAATACTAGCCAGGAGCATATCCTGTCATTTAACTTTTAACAAATGTCTCAATAACATTCTGATTCTACAGTCAATGTTGTCTCTTATTGGGCAGAATAAGAATTCCAAAACTTTGAGACCTGTTGTTATGCCTTTTTTTTTTTAAAACAACGATGATGATTGTTATTTACCATTAGGTGTTTTGAACTTTTGATAAATGAACCTGTGCAAGAACTCAAGAAATGTGTTTTTTTTTCCTCATTAAAGTGTTCCGGTAGTGGTACAACCATGGTGAATGTAAAATGTTTTGCATGTTCAGAAGTTGTAGGACTGGCTCAAATCTTGATATCATATATTCTGATTGACCAATCTATTACACCTAGAACCCCATTTACTGTAAAGAAAATAATATATTAGTTAAACTTCCTCTAAGTTATCCCCCCTTTATCTTAAATCTTGTTTTTATACTCTAATGTTCATCAGTCTTCAGTTCATTGGTAGGTCTATTTTTCCCAGCTGTGACTGGGATCATGGCAGGCTCTAATCGTTCATCCTCACTAAAGGACACCCAGCGTTCTATTCCCGTTGGAACCTTAGCTGCAAATGTGACAACCACTACCTTATATGTTATTACTGTGTTTTTCTTTGGATCTGTGGCAACTCGACAGAAGCTTTTGACTGACAGGTACCATTAACTCCTAACCCACAAACATAAAGCTGTATATTTTAGAAAAGTTCCGTCTTGTTGTTTCTGAATTGCTCTAATTGTGAAAGAGTGTTTCTTCCAACATACTTTCCCTGAATCACGTACTGCTCTTTTTCTCACATACTTGAGAACTTTTGAATTGTACTTTTGCAGGTTATTAACAGCTTCAGTTGCTTGGCCTTTCCCGGCAGTTGTTTATGCGGGCATCATTCTTTCCACCTTGGGTGCAGCTCTTCAGAGCTTAACTGGTGCTCCCCGCCTTCTTGCAGCTATAGCAAATGATGACATTCTTCCTGTTCTTAATTACTTCAGGGTGGCGGATGGGGGTGAGCCTAATATGGCTACACTCTTCACTGCCTGCATTTGTATTGGATGTGTTATTATTGGGAATCTGGACCTTATCTCACCAACCACAACAATGTTTTATCTTCTATGCTATGCTGGTGTGAATTTATCCTGTTTTCTTCTGGACCTTTTAGATGCTCCTAGCTGGCGTCCTCGGTGGAAATTCCACCACTGGAGTCTTTCTCTTGTTGGAGCATTACTTTGTATAGGTTTGTTTCTTCTTCTGCAGTGGGTAAACTTGTTTGGTTTCAGTGATCTTATTGTTGATAATTGGACATTTGGACAGACAAATATTTCATTCAAGCAGCCTTATTATTTATATCCAATTTTAGTGCTCCAAAGTCCAAGCTCTATGTGATCCTCTGACATCACATCTAATATACATCCTTGTATGTATATCTTAACTGGATTTACTGATAAGATCTCACCTCCCCCTCAAAACAAATTGTCATTTGGCTTTTTGAGCCAGAGGGTGTTACCTGGATTAACCATTGTAATTTTGATCTTTAGCAGCCCCATTTCTCTCTGCATTATATTTTGAAGCTAAGCATATATATTTACCTGTTACTCTGCAGTTACCATGTTTTTAATATCATGGACATTCACTGTGGTGTCCTTGGGCCTAGCAGCTCTCATCTATTACTATGTCTGCCTCAAGGGAAAAGCTGGGGACTGGGGTGATGGTTTCAAGAGTGCATATTTTCAGCTTGCTCTGCGTAGCCTACGCTCTCTCGGAGGTATATATGCTTATGCTGACCAGTATTTCCATATAAATTTTATTCACTTTTTTCCCCCCACTCATGTCTCTGAATTAACAAACTTGTTAAAGGTTAGTGGGGTGTGTATGTAATGCAACCGTCAGTGTAGATGAAATTCAAAAATCTACTGAAAGATGTTTTTCTTTTTACTAGAGTTTCCATTTCTTGAGACCTTTGATGACCGAGCAAAACCCATAATTCTTTTGAGTGTAGGTAAATCTTGTCTTGTGATCCTAACCAATAAAAGACTATAAGGAAATAAACTAGCTTAAGTTATTCATACCTGACCAGCTCAAACCGAAAGGGACAAGGATTTTACAAGTGTGAATCTCTCGCTATCTTAGCTAAGGTTATCTATAAGTAAAGTTATCTATAACTGACTGACTCAAACCAAAATGACAAAGATTGAACTCGTGACCTTTGTTTTTACTAGGGTTGGTTATTACACATGCATCATCTGATAGTACAGTTGACTAACATATATATGATATTATATCCATGCAGCAACACAGGTGCACCCAAAGAACTGGTACCCTATACCCCTCATATTCTGTCGGCCTTGGGGCACGCTACCGGAGAATGTACCTTGTCATCCTAAGCTTGCTGACTTCGCCAACTGCATGAAGAAAAAAGGAAGGGGAATGTCCATTTTTGTTTCAATCATGGACGGCGATTACCATGAATGTGCCGAGGATGCGAAGGCCGCTTGTAAGCAGCTAAGTACATATATCGACTACAAGAGCTGCGAAGGCGTAGCAGAAATTGTTGTGGCCCCAAACATGTCAGAAGGGTTTAGAGGCATCGTCCAGTTGATGGGGCTTGGAAATCTGAAGCCAAACATAATCGTGATACGCTACCCAGAAATTTGGCGTAGCGAGAATCTAACCGAAATCCCAGCCACCTTTGCTGGTATAATAAACGACTGCATTGTTGCGAACAAAGCAGTGGTGATTGTGAAAGGACTAGACGAGTGGCCTAACGAGTATCAGAGACAGTACGGCACCATTGATTTGTACTGGATCGTCAGAGACGGGGGGCTTATGCTCCTCCTTTCCCAGCTCCTCCTCACCAAAGAGAGCTTCGAGGGGTGCAAGATTCAGGTCTTCTGCATCGCGGAGAAAGATTCGGATGCGGAGGAACTGAAGGCGGATGTGAGAAAATTCCTTTACGATCTCCGGATGCAAGCTGAGGTGATTGTGATTTCATTGAAGTCATGGGAGGAAGTCCCGGCAGGGGAGCATCGAGAATCGCAGGAGGCATTCACGGCTGCCCAGCAGAGAATTGCTAGCTACTTGGCGGAGATGAAGGTGAAGGCTGGTGGGAAACAAGGGAGTCCTTTAATGGCTGATGGAAAGGCTGTGGTTATGAATGAGCAACAAGTGCAGAAGTTCCTATACACAGCCTTGAAGCTTAACTCCACAATTCTCAACTATTCCAGAATGGCTGCGGTTGTGCTTCTAAGCCTACCGCCTCCTCCTCTCAACCACCCTGCTTACTTTTACATGGAGTATATGGACCTGTTGGTGGAAAATGTGCCTAGGTTGTTGATAGTCCGGGGGTATCGTAGAGATGTTGTTACATTGTTTTCCTAGTTGCTCACTTGCTCATTCATCATTTTTTTTTTATATGCTGCGGGCGTTTTCTTAGTACCTACCCCTTTTAGTCTTGGTTCAAATTTTCCTTTTTGTTTTGGGGGTATAAAATTGTATACTATATATCATTCATTCTTTTTAGTGCTTGATGAGTAAACAAATTTGATCTTGATTTATTTTGCATTCTAAATTGTATAGGAAAAACTTATTCCTAAAATGTGTTTGATTCAATTGGTATCAGAAACGCATGTCATATGCGTTTGACATGATTTTAACTTTTTAGTGTTTTAGATACCAACTTTTTAGTGTTTGAATAAACAAATCTTGATTTATTTTGTCTTTTGAATTGCATGGAAAAAATTTATTCCTAAAATATGTTTTGACTCAATTGGTGTAAAACACGCATGTACATGCATTTGATATACATGATTTTAACATTTTAGTGTGCGAGTAAACAAATCTTGATCGATGTTGCTTTTTAAATTGGATGGAAAATACTTATTCCTAAAATGTGTTTGACTCAATTGGTGTAAAAAAAAAACATGACATATGCGTTTGACATGATTTATGTTGTAATTGATTCCTTTTAGCTCGTAGCTATAACACTCCTCTTTTCTTAAACTTAAATAAAGTTCTAAAACCAAATTAAGATAAACTAAGCAGCGGAATTAAAAACCACTAGATAACATAAGAGGTGTCATCGCCACAATCACCGTACCCGGTGACTGCACAGGCTAAAAAGGTATCAACTATCCAGAACTTACTACATTAAAGTAACTTGGGGAAAAAAAATACTCCGGTGTCCATCACCAACAAAACAACAGGTGTCTACATCCAAATCTCAAAAACATCAATAGTAGATCAAGAGTTTAGACTACATAGCAACTAACTACACTAGTCTAACTCGAGCACTCTCAAGAGCTGGGCCCACCTGAAAGGGGTTTTGCAAATAGACAAGTAGAAAACACCCGTTAGCACGAAGCTAAGTATAACTACACTCAACCCTGTAAAATACTATAGTATATACGTTGGAAAAACATTTGCTCACATTTCCAAATTAAGCAATCTCAATCACTTAGACAAAACCTTAACATAAAACACAAAGCTTTCTATATGCTCACAACCTAAAATATCAAATAGGCATACTTCAACGATATCAAAGCTAACAACATGCTCATACAATCGCATACTTAACATAGCAAATATCAATTCTGTATAACATTTCAATAACCATTTCATGCTAACACATAAACTTAACAAGCAATTTCGTGCTATCAATCAATAAGAAATTATTCTCATGCTTTCAAGTTCTCATCATGCAAACTAGAAATATCAATATGCAACAAAGGCAATCATACTCAATATACAATCTCGGTAATCATTCTCAATATGCAATCTAGTGCAAACATTCTCATTATGCAATCTCGTGCAAAACTATACTCAAATGCAATCTCGTGCAAACATTCTCATTATGCAATCTCGTGCAAACATTCTCATTATGTAATCCCGTGCAATACTATACTCAAATGCAATTCGTGCAAACATTCTCATTATGCAATCTCGTGCAAACATTCTCATTATGCAATCTCGTGCAATACTATACTCAAATGCAAATCTCATGCAAACATTCTCATTATGCAATCTCGTGCAATACTATACTCAATGCAATCTCGTGCAAACATTCTCATTATGCAATAAGATGCTATAGGATAAGTTTACTTATACACTCGTTTGTAAATAGAATACTTTTCTGTGGAGGTTTCTTAGAGCCACAATGACTCACTTGCTCTTTCTTTCTTAGAGTCGCAATGACTCACTTTCTTAGAGTCCCAATGTAACACCCCGTGTTACGCCCTTTAATCCTAGATTAATTATTTAATTAATTTTGTTAAAGAATAGTTAAAAAGGATTTAATCTGGCCAGGATCCCTTAATTAATTAATGTAGTCCACGAAGGACCGTGGATCCTTGTTTATAATAAGGACTTTAAGTCTATTAGGAATAAAGAAAGTGAGCATTTACTACTCAGATTCTAATTAGGGATCCTAGACCTATATACTTGTTAGGAATAGAAAGTAGGTCTTTACTATTCAGACTCTGATTAGGATTTCTAACTCTACAAATAGGGGATTAGAAAGCAATTAGAACCCTTACCACCCATAGTTATATTACACGAAATTATTCCCAAGAGATTCCCCACCACCATGCCTAGGGAGATCAATCAGATGGAAATCTTAGAGAAGAACCTTAATAGCCAAGGGAGGATTAATTAAGGCTAAGAGGTAACCTATGTCTTACAAAACCTAGTTTCCTTGCTATATCTTGATTATTGGCTCATTTGATGTGTGATTCTGTGATTGAGTCTTGATAGAGCCTTGCCTAGGATTTATATTGTGTTTATTTGATAATCTTGATGTTCTTGATATTGTGATTGATTATATGTCTAATCTTGTATTTTAATTATGTCTAGAGCTTGTCCCTAGGGTTTATATCGTGAATCTCGTTGTTGTGATATACTTGGTATATTTGGGTGGGATTATGCATGATCAGGTGTTGAGTCTAGCCTAGGATTTATCTTTAGGACTTTGCATATAGATTTCTTGATGTTCTTGAGGTTCCGGATGCTCCTGAATCGTTATTTGATTGATGTTGAGTCTTGGCATGTTTAGGAATCGTGTTAGAACGTAATTGGAATGATTCTTGGTTTAATTTTCGTTAATCGAATTCGTGATATTGTTGTCGTGTGTTAGAATGTGTCTGGACATGGTTTTGGGTTCCACGAGAGATCCCGGGACCGAAAGGTTGCCTGTGTATCAGTGGAGGGTAGGTGGGAGGACGAACACCCGCCCACCTACCCGCTGCCCGTTGCCCCCTTTCCAGCGGGCAGACGACTGCCCGCCGGGCACCCGCTGGATTGGTGAGCCGTCGCCGGCAGGTGGTCTTCCACCCGCCGCCCACCCGCTAGAAAATGGTGCCCGTTTGACGTGTATGAGTCTCGTTTGATGTTTTAAATACCATTATAGGAATTTATGTGTAGTGCGTGTCATTGTTGTTATGTCTTGATTGTTCTTGATTGATTATGTGTTGACTGATTAAATGATGATGAGTATCGTGGTCATTGTGCAATGACCGGTGTGACTAATGATGATGATGATGAGATTGTGATGGGTGGAAATGAATTGTTGGCGGATGGCACAACGAGTGCCCGGTCATTTTACTAAAGGTACAGACCGAGCGGTTACTGTGCTGAAGGCACAAATCCACCTTCGACTAGCTTGCTTTAAGCATGGGTCAGGTTATAAGTGCTGCGGTGCCATGCCGGGGCTATATGCGCTGACCCCTTGGTATTGGTACTAGAGGTACGGATCATGCGAATGGCACTGAGGCGCTATCATGATATGAGGTGGTTTGTAGGTGGTTGGTCGGTGGGGGCATGTAGTTGCCCGGAGGGATAAGGGAGGCGATATAAGGGTGGCTTGGAGGTACAGGTTGGAACTGATATAAGGATGGAGGGGAGCCACAAGGTTGGAACTTGGTATAAGGTTGGAAGATGGATTGTGTGCCTTGATGATTACTTGCTTATTGATTGTCTTAGAATCCCATTGTTGTCTCTATTTGTTATTTATGAGCTTATCTGTATATTATGTCTTGTATTGTGTTCTTAGGATGCATGCTAGTTTTTATGATCGTTCTATGGTGTCAAGTCTATTGTTATGTCTTGTGTCTTGATCTTGGTTTAAAGCTAGAGTTGCTTAGGGTATATATGTATTCCAGTTTCAAAATGATTTCCTTATACCTACCTATATTGTACTTAACGCGTTGGAGTGGGTTACCAACATTATTCGTTGACGGTTGTTACACCGAATGTTTTTCAGGAACAGTTGAGTAGCTTCGGAGCGCGCTAGTTTGGATTCGTGGACTTAGTTTAGATAGTTCTAAGTTTTGATGAGACGGCCTGTGTGCCTTGATTTGTATTTGGATATTAATTGTGGTTTATGCTTTGTTAGTTAGTTTAGCCTGTGCATCTGAGTTCTCTAGCTCAGATGTGGCATAGCACCCCGATTATCATGTTTAGTTTATGCTCTGTTTGGGAATTTATAATAGATTTGTCTTTATTCCATAAGGTTTAAAAGTTTTAAAATTTTGGGGTGTTACACGCAATGACTCACTTTCTTGGAGTCGCAATGACTCACTTTCTTAGAGTCGCAATGACTCACTTTCTTTCTCTTGAGTCTCTTGACTCGATTTCTTTCTTGCTCAAACTTTCTCATACTTCTCGTTTCTCTTCTTGTGCGAGGCAGGTACTCCGCCGCAACGAAGCCCTAGCGTATGGTGCAATCTCGTGCATTTGTCACATCCATAGCTACGGAACCTCTAACTCGTGGGGAGGTAGGTCTTCACAAATCGTGAATGGACCTAACCGGCCACATACTCAACTCGCCCACAGAACCACTCTCTTGGTTCTTTATCTTTCTTTCTTGCTTTCTCTCTATGTGGAATCAGGTATCGTACTTTTAGTGTGCACACCCCCTAACCAGGATTCCAAGCCTGGCGGGCAGTCTCCAACCTCGTAACGTGGGAATACACCGCGTTACATGATAAATCTGTCGGATCGCAATGTCCGTTACTTTCTCTTTTACTTCGAAAGGACATAGTCCCAACGGGTCCTCCAAAACCTCACTTATATAGATATCATATATATCTCATGCGACTCCTCTACTTATGCAAACTTATACACGTAACTTCTCAACAAATTCTCCATGCAACAAGATAATGTCTTTCACATGCTCATGAGTTTTGGAAAATAATACTTAGGCTCACGTTGGCCACTTATGCACTTTTAAAACATGATATGCTTGGAATGCAATTTACTGTGCAACATACTTCAATTCTATATTACTGTGAACTCTCAAAAGGCACATAATCATGCTTGAAATTCATAATCTAACAAATACCCTCATCAAACACTTAGCAATCATTCATCATGCATTTGGAACTCAACTACATCAATTTAGAGTTATTCTCTGGATGATAATATTCAAGACTAACATGCTCTGTACACTTCAATACTTGGAATTTAACAAATAATCTCTATGAATCATAACATACTCCTTAGGCATACTTTTCTAACAAGACTTAATCAATTAA